TCCTGGACAGTTTATATATATATTATATATATATGATTATTCTGAATTTAAATAGCTTCTTGGTTTCCTTATTCTGTCTTTATCTTCCATGCCATCAATCAATACTGAGAAAGTTCAAAATATTTTTTAAGTCTATAAGATAGGCTTAGAATTCTAGCTAATATTCAGGGTAGGCTGGCCAGCTATGCTAGAACTAGAACCAAAAACACATATCCTCCAGGAGTTGTTCCAGGATTCTGTGGGGTTCCATTACTTTGCTTTTGGGAGTAGGCAAGGGATATAGCATAGCAGACCCGCCCCTGCTGTATAAAATACTTAAGTAACAAATTTGCTTCTCTTATGGATGATCTGGGGACAGGGTCATCAGAGAATAGAGGGATTGAACAAGAGTCCACGAGTTTAAGGAAAACCCATCATTCACCCAGACTATGTATGTTTTCTGCTGAAATTAGTGTTCCAGATGATAAAGAAAGAAAGAAAACAGTTAAGGTAAAATATGCCAAAGGTGAGCACATATTCAAAATACCGTCTTTGGATTAAATTGTCTTTGAGACAGTTGGTATATTGATTTGGTTTGACTTTTAAAGAACACTAGTGCAATTTTAAAATCACACTACAATTAGAATCTAGCAATTACCATGGCATTTATTAGTTGTCAAAAAGCTTCACAATCAGTTTCATGATCAGAAAATAAAGCAAAATTTCATTATTGTTTTCTTTATAAAACTGATGAGTTTCTGAAAAGATAAAGGATCATTTGCTTTTTAAAAATGTCAGCTTCACCACATGATGTTCTAGAGATCTGACCCTAAAAGCTTCTCAAGTTTTACCATCCATGGTGTCCTTATTTGTAACTGAGACCCATCTGTTATTTTCCATCTGAAGCTGGAAAGAGTTAAGACAATTAGTTTGTTTCACTCTGAAAAAAAATTACAAAATTAAGTAGTAACTATTTTCTTTTGCATTTTCCTTTAAACCAATTTTTAAAGTGTGAGTCTAAATAGAAAAACTACCTCACCTTCTTCAGCAGTTTATAACAAAGCGAAAGAAGTTGAACTAAGAGAGCCATCATGGATCTTGTCTTTGTAATACACTTGTCAACCTACAGTGACAAAAAGCATGCAAATGATATTCTAAAAATAGTACTTTAAAAACTTTATCATTTATTTAGTTTTAACATAATAAAATTTTCTCCATATGGAAATCTAAAGGATCTTGAAAGGTATATGGATTTAGGCACATGAGCTGACTTAAAGCCCCAGGACACAGGTGCAGGGGTCACTATCTCACGGAACCCAAGCAGAAAGAGTGGGTGGAAAATCAATCATTCTACTGCATGCTGTTTAAGGGCTTCTTAAAACATCCCAAGTAGTGGAATTAAATCCCATCCTTTGCAGTCCCTTGTACTCTGCTTTGTGGGCACAAGCCCATATTCTCTCAGACAAATTATAGGAGACCAGACTTTGAGGCACCTGTGTCCAAGTTAGACAGGTAATGACTTCAGAATTGAATGGTAGCTGCTCAGTGCTATGGAATTAATCATGTCAAAAAACGATTTGGTGAATCTGCTACTCCCTGGGGTCAGTTACAATGGTAGATAATAAATGATTCTTGTAGACAAGGCATGAAGAAAGGAAATAAATTGCCCTTCTGTGGGTATTAACACTTTATTTGAAGAAAGAGGGGCTTTCACTAACCTGATAAAGATAGATGTCTGAAAGTTTACCTTTAAAAATACTTTACCTTAAGAAATACTTTATTCTGCAAAGAAGACTTAGTTATTGTCTGGAGCTGGTGGCATAGAGGAATTAGCTTGTTTATTTCCAGGAGAAGCATAAGCTTGTCATCGTCTTTCAGCTGAAATGTAATTTAGCAAGTTATAACAGCCCACAACAAAACTCCATCTTTAATACCTTAAATACCTTTATACCTTGATATTATACCCCCAAAGTGGGTGTACATAATACCACCACCAGCACCAGACAGGTGGACATGTTACCTGTTTTGAAAAAGCTTGTACACTGGAAGTAAGCTTTAAACCCTCTGCAGCAAAAACCTGGTAGAAAGAGAAAACACCACTATTTTAGACTGATGTTTTGTGGATAGTTGGTAAGAAATATACTAATAATTTTTACATAGAATTTTTAAAATAAAGCCTAGCCATAAAAAGTCTGTCATGGAACTCCTAAACTTTTCACTGTACCAGGAATACACAAGGGTTTAACTGTTTTCAGAAGGAGTTTTCACAGACCAGATGCAGAATCCATCCCTGGAGAGGCTTCTCTACACCAGACCTCCAATTATTCTGGAGGGTCACACAGACCTGATATTCAGCCACACAAATTATGTCTAGATTACTCAAGGGACCTAGAGCTCATCTCAAATATGCCCAATTATAAAAGGATGATGAGTTTTGGAACATGAGGTCAAAAGGGTTAGGACTTTCCCACTTCCATCTAGGTAAGACAAAATTCATCACCCATACATATTCCATAACCAGACATTTGAGAGAACCAATTCAGGTTTGTTGCTGTTTTTTCAGATTAATTTTCACTAGTCACCATGTACCATGAATTCTATAATTTAGTGAGATGAACAGGTTGATGAAGAAGAACAGTGAAAAATAAGGTTGGCTAAGTAAGATAGAAGTATTTAGGATATTATGTTAAAATGGTTTGCAGAATATTTTAGAGTGAGATACCAAGGGAGTAAAGGGAGGAAGACTTAGCTTTAGGTGGCAGTAGTAATAATGAAGAGCACAGGAAAAAACTGAAAGTGATTTGTGAATAAAAATAATAGGTCTTCATAATAAAGAATACTAAGAAGGAAGAGGCAATAATTCCATGGTTAATTTTTACCCTCTATTCAAAAGGCTTAACACCTTGCCATCATTGGATAAAGTCATCTCAAGGTCAAATCATACTTTGCAACCTTCCCTTTAAAAGGGAAACCAGTAAGCTTTACATCTAGATTCCAACCAAACTAAACGATTTACTTCCCCATGTGTTCCTTATCACTTCATGTTACCACTTTCTATTCTGCAAATTTTCTCTTTCCTTCTAGCCTGTACACCCCTTGGGGACAAAATCCATGTCTGTCTCAATAGAGTATGATGGTTTTAAAACTCCCTTAAAGCTGATAACTACCAAGTCTCTGTCTCCACTCCTGAACTATCCTGACATTGGTCTCATATAGTCATCCCTCAGGATCCACAGGAGACTGGTTACAAGACCTCTCCAAGGATACCAAAATCTAGAGATGCTTAAGTCCTTTACATAAAACAGTGTAGTATTTGCATATAACCTACACTCATCATCCCATATACTTTAAATCATCTCATCTCTAAACTATTTATAATACCTAAGGTAATATAAATGCTAAGTAAATCGTAGTTATACTCTGTTAAAATGTATTTTTTTTAACTGTTCTTATGTTTTATTGGTTTTCTTCCTTTTTCCTTTTTTTTTTTTTTTTTTTTTTTTTTTTTTTTTTTGAGACAAGGTCTCACTCTTGCTCAGAGTGGAGTGAAGTGTTGTGATCACAGCTCACTACAGCCTTGGCCTCCCAGGCTCAAGTGATCCTCCTGCCTCAGCCTCCCGAGTAGCTAGAACTACAGTGTGTGCCACCATGCCCCGCTAGGTTTTTTTAATTTATTTTTTGTAGAGATAAGGTCTCACTATGTTGCCCAGGTTGGTCTTGAACTCCTGGACTCAAGTGATCCTCCCAGCTTGGTCTCCCAAGGAGAGAACCATTGCACCCAGCCTGTTTTATATTTTTTTGAATATTTTCCATCTGTAGTTGGTTGACTCTGCAGATGCAAAACCTGCAGATGGGGGGGGGCCAAGTGTATATCCTACCTGACCTTTGTACTCAACCTGTACAAAACAAAATGCTCCATTTCCATCCTCTAAATCTGGTGTTCTCCCTCAGTGTTCCCTGTCTCAGTAAACAGCACTACCACTTACTCTGCTGCTCAAGCCAAAAACCTTACTTAAAACATAATTGGATCATACTTCTCAAAACCCTGAATAGGTTTACAGTCATCCTTGGCAGGAGAAAAAAAAAGTCAAAGTTCTCCCCATGGCCTACAGAAGCATCATATTTTACCACTTTCCTTCTGACTCACTTCACTCCCATCTATAACTGCCTCCTGACTCTTCTGATACACCCAGCCCTACCCCTGTATCTCAGAGCTTTGCGCTTGTTTTGGCCATCTAAAATCCTCTCCCTCATTTATCCATCCAACTCTCTCACTTCATTACTATCTCTACTTAAACATTACCTCCTTAGAGAAGTCTTTTCTGATCACCCCTCTATCACCTCTGTATTCTAGTCCTACATGATTTTATCTCCAAGTACTTACATATGTGCATGGAATACTTAGATTTTTATTGTCTATATTCTGCTGCTACATCATAAGTTCTGTAGGGGCAGGAGCATTGCTTTGTTCACTTTTCTCCACAGAGCTCTTTTCCCCCAGATCTGACATATACCATAAGTTCAATAAATACTTGTTGAATGAAGTAGGCCATTTTATGTTAATCACAGTTTAGAGACAATTCAATAGACATTGGTTTAATGACTAAGCTCACATAGAAAGAAGGTAAGTAGTAGATCTTTTGTAGTAAAACACCCCTACAGGGTGGTATAACAGAATGGACTTGGGCCAAACTGAAAAAAAAAAAAAAAATCTAGAATTTATTTCAACTATCTTAAGGGAAATAGCTCATTTATAGTCTACAGAAAAATCCAGAAGACGTGTTTTCTATCATACTTCTGATTATGTTTATAAACATCCTCTTAAGCTGAAATCCCTTTTCGGCAGAGTTTCAAGTGGATGTGTATGGGAATGCCAAAGAAAACTATGTAAGAGTGATAAAGTGATAGAGATTCCAAATCTTAAATGTAATGGGAATGTCAAAGGAAACTATATGAGTGATCAAGTGACAGAAATTTCAAATTTACGTACAGGAATGCTCTTGGTTCTAGAGAGACAAACAGGCTAACATGGGGATCAGGGAAAACATAAAAGGAATTTTGCAACCCACTGCCAATCTAAAGCCTCTAACTAGAGGGAGTAGAACTACAGATGGACCTATGTCCTGTTAAGTCCTGTTAAGACACATGGCATAAGAGTGGGTGTTAGCATATCTGTCTCTCCATTAATGCCCTAAATCATCATAAATACAGAAGGAAAGAAGGAAACTAACATGTACTTAATACCCTCTAATAGTCTTAAGCTTTTTAACAGAGGCTTTCTCATGTATTATCTCATGTAATCAATATATTTTATCCAATTCGATAATGAAGAGGCCAAAGTCTTTCTAGAACTCTGGATTTGTATCTGCTTGCAGGATATTTTCATCTACTTATGTAAACATAAATGCAATGTTTAGATTATTAGATAGATGCAATTATTGCATCTATTGACTATCAATAAAGCCCATTCTACTTTATGTTCATAATATTTAAGTTTCCAATGAGATCAGGAAAATTTTGCAAAATGTCACTGCAAGCCGTCTACCTTTCTACTTTTCTACTGTTCTTTGCAGCACACAGGTATGTACAGATGTAAGTATATACACATGGTCTAATAAATCATCTAGAAAACAGTTATTACGCACTTTTAGCCTGAAATTAAAGTACTAGCATGCAATGGAAACAAGGCATACCTCTAGTTGATGAATTAAATCCTGGGAAGTTTTCAGTGGCCCCTCACCTCTAAAATAAAATGAATTGTTAAAAAGGTAACAAAAAGTTATTACCTCAAAATTGGTTTCTATAATATTAAAATTTTAGAGCATTTGTGAATTAACAGATCCCAGATTTTAAAGAATAATATGAATAGACTGATAATATTGTAAGTTTATTCTTAAAGCAACTTTAACATTTAACAATTATTTCTTAGGATAATTTTTCCCCAAGTAAATCTTATATATGTTAATTTAATAATATAAAAAAATTAAACAAACAAGTTATATTTAAGTTCCATTTCTCTTTTTAACCTTTTTCATTTTGCTTCATAAATTAAATCTGTGAGATCTGATTGTCTTGACCAAAAGCCTTTGTTACATAATGGAAACAGGATTAAACCAAAAGTCAGGACATTTCACTTCTAATACTGATTTCGACTCTAGTAGTAACTCAGTTATCTAACCTTGATGAGGCATATCACTTAACTTTCAATTGTAAGTGAATAATCATAGTAATACTTGTGCTACCACTTTCATCAGAAGATTGAGGAACAGCAGATTAAAAATTACCAAGAAGAATTAAGAACTCTAAAAAATGAAAAGCAAATTACAATAAGAATAGCCAAATGCATTATGCACAGCAATGAACTAGGGATAAGTCAGAAGATCTGGAATCTAGCAGCAACCAGTTCTGCCAGTAAAGAGATAGGAGATGTAGTTCTCATTGAAAAGGTCCTTTACCTCCTTTGTTAGTTGTATTCCTAGGTATTTTTTGTTTGTTTGTTTGTTTGTTTGTTTTGGGACGGAGTTTCGCTCTTGTTACCCAGGCTGGAGTGCAATGGCGCGATCTCGGCTCACCGCAACCTCTGCCTCCTGGGTTCAGGCAATTCTCCTGCCTCAGCCCCCTGAGTAGCTGGGATTACAAGCACGCGCCACCATGCCCAGCTAATCTTTTGTATTTTTAGTAGAGATGGGGTTTCACCGTGTTGACCAGGATGGTCTCGATCTCTTGACCTCGTGATCCACCCGCCTCGGCCTCCCAAAGTGCTGGGATTACAGGCTTGAGCCACCGCGCCCGGCCCTGAACTCATTTTTTTAAAACAACTGTATACAGAGATAGATATGGATTTTTTTTTGAGACAGAGTCTCACTCTGTCACTCAGGCTGGAATGCAGTGGTGCAGTCTTGGCTCACTGCAGCCTCCGCTTTCCAGACTCAAGTGATCCTCCCATCTCAGCCTCCCAAGACTACAGGCACATACCACCACACCCAGCTAACTTTTGTATATATTTTTTAGAGACAGGTTTTGGCCGTGATGCCCAGGCTGGTCTCAAATTTCTGGGCTCAAGCGATCCACCTGCCTCAGCCTCCTAAGGAACAGGGCTACAGGTGTGCACCACCATGCCTGGGTAAGCCTGCTTTTTTTTTAATTAAGGAAAGACCTTAAATTCTTACTACATGAAATAGTGATTATGGCATCTCATTTTACAAAGGTTTGAAATTTTTAGTAGTACGAGTGTGGCGGCTCACACCTGTAGTCTCAGCACTTTGGGAGGCTGAGGTGGGAGGATCACTTGAGGCCAGGAGTTTGAAACCAGCCTGGGCAACATAAAGACCCTGTCTTTATAAAAAGTTAAAAAATAAAAATTTTAAAAATTGGCTGTTTGTGGTGGTCTAGTGGTTTGGACCTGTAATCCCAGCTACTGGGGTGGCTAAGGAGGGTTGATCCCTTGAGCCCAGGAGTTTGAGGCTGTAGTGAGGCATGATTGTGCCACTGCACTCTAGCCTGGGTGACAGAGTGAGACCCCAACTCAGGAAAAAAAAAAAAAAAAGAAAAAAGAAAAATGATTCCTGGAAAAGAGCTAACCCTGACTTGATTTTGATGGGGTTGGGAGAAGCAAAAAAACACTTTTTTTCAGTAGCAAGTCCATAAGACTCTGATGTTCAAAGACATTCTTTTATGAAACAGAAGTTATCTTAGCTCCCACGCTCACATTTTCACCAAGGATGGGAAAACTTAAAATTTGCCTCTTAAGGTAAGTTAGTCACTTCTGGTTTTAAACACAATAACTCAAGATTGAAACTCAGTAAATGCAAGATCATCTCCCCCTTACATTTCTGCTCCTCTTTTTCTTCCCAGGGGAGATCTAAAGTTGAGGTGGGGGTGAACACCATGCCGTAATGCAAGCAGTATAGTAGTCTTAGAAAATTTACCTAAAAGAGCTAAAACTAAGCACTTTTCCTTACCCAGAGTATAGGGATAAAATATTTATCCTAAGGGGTTATTGTGAGATTCAAATACAATGCTTTTTCACTGCTTAGGAAGTACTTGGTCTGTAGTAAGTGCTCAATAAATGATAGGAATGTGAATATTATTCCAACAGAAAGCTTCATAAAGTTGGAGTTTGAGGAAAAGGAGTTGCTTTCCAAATTTGCCCTCTTTTTTTTTTTTTTTTGAGACAGAGAGATAGTCTCACTGTGTTGCCCAGGCTGGAGTGCAGTAGGGCAATCTCAGCTCACTGCAACTTCTGCCTCCTGGGTTCAAGTGATTCTCCTGCCCCAGCCTTCCGAGTAGCTGGGATGGCAGGCACGCACCACCACGCCCAGCTAATTTTTGTATTTTTTAGTAGAGATGGGGTTTTACCATGTTGGCCAGGCTGGTCTCGAACTCCTGACGTCAGGTGATTTGCTTCCCTCGACCTCCCAAAGTGCTGGGATTACAGGCATGAGCCACCGCACCCAGCCAGGGATGTGCATTTCCAACAAGCTTCTCAGCTCTCATCCTGCCAGGAGAACCGTTTTCTGTCCACTTGCCATGCCCTACCCTCACCGCCTTGGCTGCCCGGTAGCTGGTCCTACTGGTCAATCTCCCACTGATGTCATTGGTCCCTCCATGGCCTCCAGGCTGAAGGTATGAGCACTGGCCCTCCTAGTTGTCCAGGCTGGCACTAGGCCTCCCCTGCTTTGCCCCCCGCTTCCTAGAGCATTGGTAACTGGGCCACTTTCCCCATCCCAGCCATGAGGCCTGTCCCCTCAGGCCTCTCTTCCAGCCATTACCACTCTGAGGCTCTGGTGCCACATCAGACCCAATTTCATGTCAGGCTCCCCTTGAAAACTGCAACTATAACCTTCCAAGCTGTATTCAAGTTTTCTACTAGGACTGAGGACTGACTGTTCTGCTGGCAAACTGGCTCCCTGGGGAGGGGGTTGGGGAAACCCTGATTTGTAGCTTTTGCTTGATTCCCATGGTATAAATACTCACTGTGGTTGATTTCATGTTGAAGAGAAATAACACCACCGACCAATAAGATCTCACAAGCTGTGACATCAAACTCCAGCTTGGCACTTTGTTGACTCCAGGAAAGGGGGGAAGTGGGCTGGGCTCTAATGCAGCCTCCGGCAGCCAAGCTTTCCTCCCAGCCCTCAGGAACCCTCCCCTCTGATCTCATCCCCTCAACTACATTCTTAGCGCTTGGGGGGATGATGTCTCTTGGCCTCCTCTCTCTTAGGATTCCTCACAGGGCACTTGAGGAGGCACTAAGTATGTTAACTGATGATTGTTTTAAAATATTGCTGTTAGGCTGGGTGTGGTGGCTCATGCCTGTAATCCCAGCACTTTGGGAGGCCAAGGTGGGCAGATCACCTCAGGTCAAGAGTTTGAGACCAGCCTGGCCAACATGATGAAACCCCATCTCTACTAAAAATATAAAAATTAGCCAGGTGTGGTGGTGGGCACCCGTAAACCCAGCTACTCAAGAGGCTAAGGTAGGAGGATTGCTTGAACCCGGGAGGTGGAGGTTGCAGTGAGCTGAGATCATGCCATTGCCCTCCAGCCTGGGTGACAAGAGTGAGACTCCACCTCAAAAAAAAAAAAAATATATATATATATATAATATATATATATTGCTGTTAAAGACAAAACCACACCATTTTTCACTATCAGAGGCATAAAGGCCACTCACCGCTTATAATTTTCCTTGTAGACCTGATGAAGTTAACCAATGCCTCAAAGCTCCTCAGTCTTGCACCAGAGAGTATCTCTACCATATTGCCAAGGACTGTTTAATGGAACAAGGTTTGGAGTTTTGTAAAGTGTATTTGTTGGGATGGATTTGACTGATATCTAATTAATTGATATCATGATTTGAAGTTGTAGGCAGGAAAGCCTGACAGCTCACCAGCAGCCTGCAATCAGCATTATTAGTTGGTATTAAGTCTTGGATAGTCTTTGTAGCCCTAAGACGGAAGCTTCATTTTAGAAAGTGTAGGATTCATTGCAACAAGGACTTATTGAGCACCTACCATTTGCAAAGAACAGCAGATGTTCAGGAACGGAGGAAATGTGCAGGACAGTGATTTTCAAAGTGGCCTCACCATCACCTGGGAGCTTGTTAGAAATGCACATCCTTGGCCGGGCACGATGCCTCACGCCTATAATCCTAGCACTTTGGGAGGCCGAGGCAGGCAGATCACCTGAGGTCAGGAGTTCAAGACCAGCCTGGTCAACATGGAGAAACCCCATCTGTACTAAAAATACAAAATTAGCCAGGCGTGGTGGTACATGCCTGTAGTCCCAGCTACTTAGGAGGCTGAGACAGGAGAATCTCTTGAACCAGGAAGGCAGAGGTTGTGGTGAGCTGAGATTGCGCCATTGCACTCCAGCCTGGGCAACAAGAGCAAAACTCCGTCTCAATAAATAAATAAGTAAATAAATAAATAATAAATAAATATTTGATACATGAATGAATGAATGAATGACTTCTGTTGCTGAACTGTGAAATAGACTGTAGATCCCTCAACCACATAATTCCCAGCCAAATGAAAAAAGTCACAGAATACAACTGAATGTTGAAAACAGGGGTCTCCCCGAGAGGAAGCTAGAAAAGTGGGGGTACCTTTAGCACCTAAATGTAGTTATCATTAGCTGATCAAATCTTGGTGCAGCTTTCTCAGTGAAATGTGTTTAAGTGTTTCCCTGGTTTATAGAATCTCCTAGGAAAATGACTAGAGTTGGCTTTGTTGGGAATCAGACCGGGCCTTTGAGGGGCGCCAGAGCCAGCACCATAGATGGCCCGTCCAATAGTTCTTCCTCCCTTTTTCCTTGCTGGAAGGGTCCTAATGTGTTCAGGTGTCTCTACCTCTGCTATATGGCTCAATTGTAAATCATGAATGATTGAAATTGTCCACAGTGGTACCAGTTCTTTTGCCAGTGATTAGTTTGCAAGTGGGCATGTGACCCTACACTGGCCAAAAAGATATAAGGGAACTAGGTGTGGTGGCACATGCCTGTAGTTCCAGCTACAAAGGGTGGCTGAGGTGGGAGGTCGGGAGCACTTAAGCCCAGGAGGTCAAGGCTGCAGTCAGCTGAGATCACACCACTGCACTTCAGCCTGGATGACAGAATGAGACCCTGTCTCAAAAAAAAAAAAAAAAAAAAAAAAAAAAAAAGGCTGGCACGGTGGCTCACGCCTATAATCCCAGCACTTTGGGAGGCCAAGGCAGACTGGATCAGGAGGTCAGGAGTTTGAGACCAGCCTGGCCAACATAGTGAAACCCCGTCTCCACTAAAAATACAAAAATTAGCTGGGCATGGTGGTGCACGCCTATAGTCCCAGCTACTGGGACTGCTGAGGCAGGAGAATCCCTTGAACCCGGGAGGTGAAGGTTGTGGTGAGCCAAGATCATGCCACTGCACTCCAGCCTGGGCAACAGAGCAAGACTCCATCTCAGAAAAAGAAAGATATAAGGGACATTTTTCTGGGGAGCTTCTG